GTTAGTACAGTAACTACAGTAAAGTAGCGCTTAGCATTAAATAATGGTGCTTTCTTTGTTCCAGGACATTCTGTGCAAGAATTTGCAGTTAAAATACTCATGACATGCAGCTGAGAGCTGAAGAGAAGTCTCATCCTTCAGTTCATGTAACATGATGTGTTCTGTATTATTAACCCGATCTGAAAACTATAGTTATCAAATAAATGTAGCGGCTCGGAAAAGTAATGAAGATGTAGTAGGCCTGTGGTATGAAGTAGTAGAAAATTAAAATACTCAAGTAGAAATTCCTCAAAACGGTACTTTAGTACAATAAATAAAATATAAAATAATAAATGCATATTAAATAGATAGATAGATGTATTTGGTTACTTTCCACCACGGAACTTATGAAAGTATTTGAGTGGCAGTGTTTGGGATGGACGGGGAGGAGGAGGTAATACTGAAAAAAATGTCTGCTGCTCAGAGCAGATTGTTTAAAACAATAACAACAGCAGAAATAAACTAGTTAATTATAATGCATGCGAACTGATCTTTGAGCACTTGTACAGGTCTGGAACATGTTTGTCATTGTTTTGGTAAACTGAACCTTTCTGTGATATACATGGTGGAAATACGGCATCACATTCACCAGCTCAACTCTTACAGTAGACACTTTATTTCTGTCTCTCATGCTGCAGATTTCATGATGCACTATTTTACAGTTCATTAAAGGAAATCAATCCACACACATACAATTACATCTCTTGAATGTCAAGAATAAAACAGGCTCCATGGACTTGGTGCAGTGATGGACGACCTGCCAGAGACCCACAGGCGTGTGGACATGATGTAGAGGTCTGTGTGTACTCTGAGGGTCACGCATACAATTTATCATATACAGAAGGTAAATGGTAAATGGACTGTATTTTGTATAGCGCTTTCTCACAGTGTGTTGCACTGGCCAAAGCGCTTTACAGAGATGATACACCATTCACCCATTCACACACAACATTCACACACTGATGACGACAAGCTGCCATGCACCAGCGCTAGTCAAGCCACCAGGAGCAATTCGGGGTTCAGTGTCTTGCTCAGGGACACTTAGGCAGGTAGGTAAAGTCTGTGTAGAAGTTTGTGTTCTCTATAGACTGACTCAGTGTCTGGATAGCCTGTGACAACTGAAGGTCTGTGAGCAACACAACAGACTTAAATGTTGCCACTGGTGATATGGACACATCTGTGTAATGGTGTATCACAATATCAATGTGCAGTATCGTGATATGGTAACAAACTATCAGTAGACAAAATAATCTGAGGGAACGTTTAGCAATTCCACTTGATTAACAGAAGAACTAATGTACTTCATTCCATTGATGTAAATATACTGTAAATCCGTTAGTGATTTGCAAATTTTCAATCCCAAGTAGCTCAGCCAGAGACAGAGGGCCCTGTTGCGGCAAAATTCTTATCAAGGCTCGATTAGTGCAAAATAAAGTCTTGGCATCAACCTGAATGTAGTTGCACGTTTATTTCTAACAGAAAGGAGCAATCTCTGGACACAGTGTTCAACAGTCTGAAGCACGGGGGCCGTTAGGGGGGGGAAGTTAGGACGATTCTAAGGGCCCACGAACTTTGGGGGCCCACAGTCTGTGGGTAGAGGGCTCAACTTCAAATTTTTTCATAGGGCCCAAAACTGCTAGCGGCACCCCTGGTCTGAAGGAGAGGCTCCCAGAACGGAAAGCTACATGTCCTTATACACACACATGTGAGTGTAGGAAACAGATGCCTGCTGCCTCAATATTCAAAAATCAGCCACTATATATCATGTTCATAACTGTAGCTCTAGATTAAACAAGACATCCATACCTGTTGTGCTAATTTATCAACTCCATTACCATTGAGTCCTGTGATTTTGAAGTCTAGCAGCTACACTGTGACTGCACCTTCTACTTGCAGCAGAGAAAGGCCAGAAAGAAAAATGTGACTATGAATAACAGAGATGATGGTAGATATTTTTGGTGTGAAGGTAATTAAAGCAGAAGCAGCAGCTCTGATGGAGACAGAATGATTCAGCCGGTGCAGAGGTCTCAGATTCAGATTATTGTTTCACCCACAGAAGAGAATCTGCCAAGCCAGCTGACCAATCAGAGGCCAGCATGCTGCCTCCATCAGATGACTTCCTTGCTCAGACCTCGTTGACACAGATCAAAATCACAGCCAATGCTAACGAAAGACAGGCTGCTTCAATCAGCCAGCCGGTTTACAGCAGGCTTGGCACCATGTCGTCCAAATCACACACACACACGCACAGAGCAGAGCAGACCTGAGCTCTGCAGTCTGCTTTAACACAAACATAGCTTCCTGTCGAGGCCCTGGCTCTGTTTCAGGCCTGGGAGAGCTCCAGGTGAGCAAACACAACTAATTTCTACAAATAAACAGCCACGATGAAGTTTGGATGGGCTGATTGGCTGGATGTGACCATGACACCAAGCTGCCACTGCAGCCCAGATGTGAGGAGTTTAGGCTTTTGATTAAACATTGACTTTGGGAGGGGCTGATCACAACAGCATCTGGATGTCGTTTCATCCAGTCAAACACAGATATCTGACAGACAACTCAGTCTCCTGCTATTTGTGGGTGACCAGGATAAGAATTAGGGAAAAAATTGTAAATACCAATCAAATTTCATTAGGATTTTATTTTCCAAAGAAATACACTTTTTTTTTAAATTTACTGTAGTAAAAAGTGAATTGTGAAATCACTCCCTATTATATGGCCAAAAATATGTGGACAGCTCTTTACGCTAGTTCTCTTTCATCTTTCTTTGGTAAAATGATATGCTAGACCACATTTTTTGTCCAACTTTGTGTCACCAGTATGTGTTTGTCCATTTTTTCCCCAACATGACAGTGTCCCCATGCACAGAGCCAGCATCATAATGAGAAGGTTTTCCCAGCTTGGTGTGGAACAACTTCACTGTCACCCAACACCTTTGGCATGAATTGGAACACAGACTGTTAATGCCAAACATCAGTGCTGGACCTCACCAATGCTGTTGTGGAGGAATGGGAGTAAATCCCTGAAGCAGGTTCAATATCTGGTTGAGAGTGGAGGCTGTTAGGACATTTAGCCCATTGTGTTGGACTGACATGTTTCACTATTCAGTGTGGGTGAAATGCTCATTTGTCTGCATACTTAGATTATAGTTGGTTCTTGTGCAGATACTTTAGCTCTTAAATATGTGCATCTGATAAATAACCGCTTGAGAGAGAGCCAAGAAGATGAACGTTTTATACCCTGAATTTAGTCTCTCAGGCAGAGTTTTTCCCCCACACAAGCTCTGTAATGAAACCGTTTAAAGTATTGGATTTTGCATTGATCAGTTGCCGGGATTTGTTTTTCTGGGGAAAAGCTCTGCTAAAAAAGCAGCTTCGGTGTAAAAAAAACTTAACCATGAGTGCTCATATAAATTATGTGGTTGTTTTGGAAGGCACCGACAAGCTGTTTGTTGTGTGGCTAAGTGGACTTGTCGAGAGAACTTCATTAATCTAAATGGGGAATCGCAGTTACAGCGGCCAAGTTAAGCAGAGCAAAACAAACACTGCACTTTTATCAAATGCGTTTTAACAGCTTTATGGTTTAACTGCCAGACCGCAAAGTAACAACACAGAAACATGAATAATCAGCTCCAGTCAAGGTCACACACTGGCCTTCAGACCGGCATGTGTATTAACAGCATTTCTAAAGTAACAACTGTATGTGAGGTGCGTTTACTTTGCTCACCTTTGTCACTAAACACTGTCAGGTTGTCCTTTGACGACCCGCTGGGTGTGTTGCCAGAAATTACACACACACACACACGGCGGTGATGTGTTGTGAAGACTGAAGGAATTAGCAGAAAGTAGCCGGTGTCGGTTGAGGTCGATTCAAACTCTGGTGGAAACAAGCCAGCATGCACAGAGTTGCGTTTCCATCACTTCAGAGTACTTTACATTCGTTCCCTGAAGACGTACCCTAACGTTAACCATAACGTTTTTAGTCCCCAGTGAATAGATTTGTCTGCACAACATGAGCAATCCCCCCCCCCCCCCACAACCCCACACAGCTCAATGCATGAACGCCAACCAGGAAGAAAATCTGTGCTGCAAGAAATATCAAGGACTAAAGGGCCATACCACTGTCCCTATAAGATACTTGTTGCACTATTAAGGCCCTTTGAACGTTTTGAAATGATCTGAGCAAAAATAACCACAATAAAATCTGTCACACATTTCACTGAGTTCCACAACGTTTTCACTCGCATTTAGCATCATTTTGAGTTTTTGAAATACAGGGGGCATGAATTCCAGATGATGTTTTGTTCCACAGAACTTGTGGATTTTATGATAAAACGATTCTTTTTTATGTTTCAGCACAAATCAACCAACTAGTAAGTGAGCACAATTTAAAATCAAACCGAATTCAAACACACGACCAGGCTTTATCCTACGTAGCCAGGATCAAACTGAATTGAATTACTGTATTTACTATTAATGATCTGAGAAAAAATAACCACAATCAAATCTGTCACACATTTCACTGAGTTCCACAACGTTTTCACTCGCATTTAGCATCATTTTGAGTTTTTGAAATACAGGGGGCATGAATTCCAGATGATGTTTTGTTCCACAGAACTTGTGGATTTTATGATAAAACGATTCTTTTTTATGTTTCAGCACAAATCAACCAACTAGTAAGTGAGCACAATTTAAAATCAAACCGAATTCAAACACACGACCAGGCTTTATCCTACGTAGCCAGGATCAAACTGAATTGAATTACTGTATTTACTATTGCTGTAAACGACCAAAGATTAACACCAAGCTCCAAAACAAGAAAACTTAGCAGTAAACCATTAGAGTTGAATATGGTTAATTCTGCAGCTTCATGTTCATCCACATGTAAATGGGAACCAGCCCCTGTAGCAGATCCCGTCTCGTTCGCGTTTTTACGCATTGATAATAAATAAAGCACCCTCCTACCTCGCAGGTTCTGGATCTTCACCACGACCTCGGCGGGCTCCCGCAGGCTGCGCGCCAGGTACAGACGCCCCGAGTCCCGCTCGATCTGGACCGGTGAATCTGGGTCGGATATCACCTCGAACCACCGTTGCTCAAACATCTGGTCCGGCACCGTGAACACCAGGTCTCCCACTCTAACGTGGTCTGGGACTGTCACGGTGTAGGTCAGCTCCTCGGACAAAGCCCGAGGCCTCCGGCGCGCTCTGCTGGAGTGGCGCACGATGACGCGCAGGAACACCGGCTCACCTATCAACGCCACATCTCCGTCGTCCTTCACATAAAGGTGAAGAGTCACCTGGCTGACACCCAACAGGGACCCGACCAGCTTCACCTGACCGGTTTGGGGAACCACGTGGAACAGGTGAGAACCTGGAGACGCGTAAATAGTAACGCGTCCATTTCTCTCGGCGTCACTGTCCTTTGCATCAAAGCGGGCCAGCTCGGTACCGAGCGGTGTCAGTTCGTCCACTTCAATCGTCTTGTTCCCGCTGGTGAACCGGGGTATGTTGTCATTCTGGTCCGCCACCTCGACCTGGACGGCAACTGGTCTCCTCAGACACCGCTGCGGCAGCGCCACCATCAACTCGTACATAGCTATAAACTCCCGGTCCAGCGGTTTGGCAGAGATCAATCCCAGATACCTCCAGTGGTCTCGGTGCCCGCTGTGGTGAACCAGCCTAAAATCCGACGCATAATCCCCCTTCAGACTGGCATTCAGGTCCGCACCGGGGCAGCCGCCAGCTCCGACTGACAATACCACTCCGTCCACCGGCGTCCCAGCCGGAGAGTTCTCCGCTATTTGGCCGAAGTAGCGCGCTGGATGCCCGGAATGCGCGGACAGACATGCCGGTGAGACATGAAAGAGCAGCAGTGGGAGCAGGTGAAAGAGGCTGTGCAGGGGAAGTGGTCCGGTTGTAGCTTTGTTCATGTTTCCATCAAACCCGTTTCAGTTGGAGAAGACAGCAAAGTGTCTGCAGAGCCACGATAGCGGATCTGTCTCTTAGTGATCCAGTTTAAAAGGGCTTTAAGCGAAAATAAAGATTTAGGTCCAGGAAGGAGCGCAGCTTCCCGAAGCAGGAAAAAGAATCCAACAGTTTATTAGCTGGTTCACTTAAAAAAGCTCTAATTAACTCCCGGTTCCGTTTGGTGAAAGTCTGTGCAGAGCGCGAAAGAAAAATATCAGCAACAGTATGTAGCCGCTGCTCCTCTCCAGTTAATTAATAATTCAATCAGGAGGGACTTTTACGCGCAGAGAAAGTCTTTTCCTCGCTCTCAGTAAAAATATATCAACACCAATAGAAATGTTAGTAAAAAAATTGTATTCAGAGATTTTTTTTAATTAGGCAAAGATGCTTCAGAGCGTCTCCACCATCTCCCCCGAAGGATGGTTCAGACTGACGGGCGCACAGACACCCAGCAGGCTCCATGTGGCTCCGTCGGTACCGCCCCCCTTTCACAAATAGACCAATCAGAAGGCAAGAACGAGACTGAGCGACAGGCAGCGTAGTGCGCGGGAGAGAGAGAGAGAGAAAGAGACCGGCTAGGAACACATGCAGTTTAGTGTCTGGTCTTTAATGTAAAGGAAATAAAATTGTTTGGAGTCTGTCCTCAGAAGTAAAACTACATTTCATCAAATGTCTGAAACAACAAGCATGACAAAGGGTCACATCTACAGACCCTCGTTCAGCCCTCAGTTGTTAAACATTTGTTGTTCCACAGGGTGGAAACTGTAAACCAGTATCACCAATCAGTCTGGCACTCTTACTGGCTCCGCTGTCTCCCCATTAACCTTTGACCTTCTTTGTTTACACTGGAAATTAATATCACTGACCAGGTGTGACTTGGCCTTCAGGAAGTTCAGGAATCTTCCCAGTGGGCCAGTCAGCCCACCACCACCACTTAAACATTACATCTTAGCTGCAGCGACACAGCTAGTGCAACCTGTAATAGCAGTGAGGGCTTTTTCTTTTATCACAACTGCAAACCAGAGGCAATTTGTTGTCTGTGATAGCAAATAAAACATGGAAACAAAGAGAAGACATGTGGCCAGAGGTGCAGGGAAGAGCAGAAGAAAAGGAAGCAGGCTGTGATAAAAAAAAAAGACTTTTCAGACTTCCTTAAAGGGTTAGTCCACCTAAAATTGTATAAAATGAAGAAGGAAAGAAGGTGACCACCTCAGAGATTCCCATAGTCTTTGGAGATAGTTTCTTCCAAAGAAATGTTATATTTTAAGGCCACAGTCAAACTAATTGTTCATCCACCTTCACAGGGAAGGAGGCAGAGCTCTTTAAACAAACTGAGCATTTCATTTAACATTATCTTTCAGTGAATTCCAGTGGAATAGAAGCATGCAAAAGACATGGAAACTTTATGCTATTTAACTCTCCCTTTCTGATTCCTTTATGTTCACAGTGGGAGGTGAACCTTAGACGCTGCCAGTATTAACACCTGTTTCTAAAAGCCTCCGTCTGCAGGTTGTTTCCAGTCTGCAGCAATGACAGTGGCCAACAGCAGCATCATTTATCTACAGGAACCTTTTCAATAAAAGAGCAATTTACTGAGATCAATATGTTTGATCTTCAGCTGAACACACCCATCTTCCTCCCTCTCCTCACTCAGGAAGCCCCTCTGAAGATTTCAAGAATTGCTGTCCTTCACAAATGCACTTGAACAATGATCACTTTATAAGAGCAGAATGAAAAGCAACCCGGGGCTGCGATCCCCCACAGGAGGAGCAGAGGAAGTGGGTGAGACGATGTGATGGGAAAATGGCACGAGGAATGAAGGAAATCACTCTAATGTTTGAGCAGAAAACTCAGATCTATTCCTGTGTGTGAGGCCATTTTGACACTGGATCAACTCCTATCTTGTGATTGACTGATACTAACATCAGACAACATCTGCTTTTTCTTCTGTGTTTGTTCTTTCAGATGAAGTAGCTGATGTTTATCTTTGTCTGATTCAGGGAAGATCGGTGGTGTCAGACATGAATCTCATGCACTGAGTACGTGGACCTTGAGGTATGAACTTTCAAGCTATAGGTCTCAACTGGCTGGAGATGAGTCAGGTGTTGGTGTGTGCCAGTGTCACATTTCACAAAAGAAGACCACATGAGGCTGCTGATGTATATACAGTAAGGAAATTGGAAATGACCTCAAGATGTCACCTTGACGAGGGGGGTTTCCCTATAATACTGGAAGGTCTACACCTTACTATGTAAGGCGCCCTGAGGTGATTGTTGTTGTGATTTGGCGCTATACAAATAAAAATTGAGTTGAAAAGTAAAGGCGTCATCTTTGTTAAACTGGAAGCTTAACAGTATTCACCCACGATGCTCCACCAGGCGGTGACTCTGTTACACATAGTGATGCTGCATGTTTTCACCCAGAGGCAGTGTTGCTAATTATACCCGTTGCTCCACACACACCTTGTCAACCCGAGGTCACACTGGCTCATTTCATTGTGCCGCATGATGGGATTTTACCACATGCAAATGAGTTTAATTAAGCCTAAACTTATTAGCCAGTGGAGTGTGAGTAAATGGATATGTAAATGTGCAGCGGCGCAGAGGAAAATCAGTTCACGTGTATAATAGGATGGAGGTTTAATAACAGGGTGGTGAGAATGTAAACCTCCAAGCTCATCTAGATGGGAGAGAGTAATGACTGAAAGTTAAAATATAAGATGCAGTGTACTGCAGAGTTTTCATTCTGTCAACCAAGTTTCTTCTTTTTAACCCTTACTTCTTGTCTTCTGCCTCCGTAGAGGAAAAGACGAGTGAGCTGTGATGAAAGAGAGGACTGAATGGTTTTGACAGGGCATTTGACCCCAGTAGCTCCATCACACTGCTTTGCTGTTGGCCTGGACTGCTGTAATTTGGCTTCTGACATCTGTCAAATACAGAGAAAAAGCAGGGAGGAGGTGGTAGGGCAGGGGGGAAAGGAGGTTCAAAGGTTGCTGGTTCAAATCCTGGACTGTAGTGGGAGAAAGAGCAAGTCTCTCCTAAAGCATAAACAGGCCCGGTTTGTTTCATTCAAACAAAGACTTGTTGTAATCAGCTGTTATTGAATTGGACAACAAAGTGGAGGAAAAACCGATAGGAAGGAACAAAATTCTGATAAATCAGGGAACAAACTATAAGTGCAAGGCGATCCACACTGCTCGTGGGTTGATGTTCTGTGTTTGTCTGTTATATTTTCCTTCTTTCTTTTATGTTTGTCTGCAATGAGAAAGCAATAAAAATAAAGTGATTAAAAAAGAGTTTGTCAGGTGTGTGTGCTCCTTTCAGACTGGGAAGCAGTAAAAATCTGCACAAGCTGATGGAAGCAGGCTTTAAGCACAGCCTGTCCAGTCTTAGACAGTTTCAGCCGGTCATCAAGTGTCCCCCCACTTCAACAACACTCTAGGCCTGGAGATAAAAGGTTTCCATGCTGTGGTAAAGTTAGGTTAGTGCCAGATCAGGCCGAGCCAGCCGTCATCCACAGACATCCACAGTCAGACAGATGGTTTGCATTAAGAGGAGGAGGAAGGTGAGAGACAGTTATCCTCCACCCTTCATCTCCCCAAGATGTCATGCAGCAATCTGAGAACCATCAACCTGACGGACAAGTGAGGAACACGTGTTTCTACCAGATTGACGTGTGTGTGTGTGTGCAGCAGATGAATAACTGGCTCCAAATTTTAAACTGAGTAGTATTTTTTAAGTACAAAGCTGAATCTCACTGCTGCAGATGAGTTTCTGACAGATGTGCAAAAAACTGTGATTTCTACCCTGAACACACACATGCACTCATTCACTTAATGACCAGCAAGAGCAGTGAAAATTATGCCTGACAAACGGATGAAAAAAGAGAAAACAGGCAGAGTAAAACACATGATTGGCCTTGGACTCTTCAGTGCTGGAACAGTGCCACACACACACACACACACACACACACACACACACACACACACACACACACACTGCTCTGTGAAGCTCTTTCTTTCCCCTCTCCCTCTCAGTAAAACACATGATTGGCCTTGGACTCTTCAGTGCTGGAACAGTGCCACACACACACACACACACACACACACACACACACACACACACACACACACCGTTCTTTGAAGCTATTTCTTTCCACTCTGCCTCTAATAAATGTGTTTTCAAAGAGCTGTCAGTCAGCAGGCACCCGCACTTCTCCCCTACAAACAGACAGAGAATACTGTAAGTGATGTGAGATTTCCATGTTAGTTTTCCATACAAAAATAACTGTGTCAGTTTGTTTAGATACACTGAAAGGAAAAGCAAAAATGTAAAAACATTTCTTCCCTGTCAACAAAAACTCTCTGGAATAACTTTTTAAATAAGATGCAGAAATTAAACCCTTGCATGGTGACTTTGTGGAAAGTCTGGTAAACATCCACTGAGAACCACCTGTTATGTGAAGACACCTGGTAAATGCAAGGCAAGAAAAACTTCTAAACTTCAGCATGTTGTACGTACAATATAGTGTACATGAACTGTCAATCATCAACCGCATAACCTTTTTAAAATGACACCTATCTCAAGATAAATGTGCCGCATAGCCTTTCTAAAATGACACCTATCTCAAGATAAATGATTCTAAATCTCACAGACTTTGGTGAGCAAAGCAAACTCATGGTCCAGGTTTGTGATGCTAAGAATAACAGAGACCTGCTCATGTCAGCATCATGTCAGTATCTGCCTCGGCCTCATTGTGATGGACTGTCAGAGCTCACGGTGTGGTAGAGACATCTGCGCTGTCAGCTTGTCTGCTTTGTTTGCTTCTTCTAGACTCTTCCAAGACAAATATCATCTCCTTCACACTCTACTCCAGCTGCTTAGTGTACACTCAGTTCACGTGTTTCTTGTGGATGTCACAGTTTGAAAGCAGCGCTGTGGAAACAAAGTCCTCCTCAGACATGGACACGTAGAAAAGCAGCTTCATCAGTCTGTTAATGTTCATTCAGATGAAGAGAACCACAGTATTTGTGTGATATTTACTATACAGGCACGGCTGGACAGTACTTCAAATGAAGAATACTGTATGGAGGATGAACCTGAGTGTGTTCCAGTGCTTTCCCTCATGTTACTGCTGTTTAGTGCATTCTCCAAAACAAGCATGTTTTTAGTAAACTGAACAACTCACAAAGATGCACAAGAAACATGTATGACTGGTAGGCCCACTATGCATAATAAATAAATGTTACTAGGTCTGACATAGCAAAATTACAATCACAGTTTTTTGGAAAAGTGACCAGTCAGATATGAAGCTGACACATGAAGATGCCATGGTGCTCAGTCAAATATGAAGCTG